AACGTTCTCCTCGGAGGCTCTGCCAGCTGAAGTTAGCAGTCTGTTCTCGCCAACTTCTACACACGATAAGTACCTGCTGCACTTGTTAAAGTTTGCAGACAATGTCAGTACGTGGGTGGCAGCGGAGATTGTTACATGTCACACATCCAAGGTTAGTTTTGATATTCAATATAAACATGTATTTAGATCTAGGCACTCCACTAAATATACAGTTGAAACATAAGCCAATCGGCCGTAATTTTATGACCACTGACAGGTTAAGTGAATAATATTGATTGCCTTGTTACAATGGCTTCTGAAAGTCGGTGGGATATATTAGGCAGCAAGTAAACATGTTGTCCTCAAAGTTGCTATGTTGAAAGTAGAAAAATGACCTCTGCAGTTATGTATGGGGCTGCGTAGTTGCAAACTGGTCAGGGTGCCCATGCTGAGCTGTGTCCACAGCCAAAAGTGCTTACAATAGGCATGTGAGCATCAGAACTGGACCATGGAGCAATGGAAGACGCATTCACTGCTTTACGATAAAAATGTCCCAGTAATTGAATCGCCCTCTCACTTCCCAGTATACTTACCTATCTTGATCCAATGCTGTGCCCATCTGCAGCAGTGCTTTTCTGCGTTGCTCTCCTTACAGAACACAGAGACAGTAGCGGGAGCCATTGGCTTCTGCTACATTCACTCAAATTCTGAGAGGAGGGAGCAGGGCTGAGCTACGCTTTGTGTGTCTCTGGATGCACACAGCCTGGCTCGGGAGTGAGCCCACAAGTCTACCCCCCGAGTCGCTCTGTGCAATTGCACAGAGTAGGTAAGTTATTTTGCAGTTTTGTTATTTTAATTACAAAAAAAAAAAATATATATATATATATACACACACACACATAGTTAGTCTGGCTGAAAAAAGACAAAAGTCCATCCAGTTCCTCTATAGAAGAAAAAAAAAAGTTATAATCCTATATCCACAGATGATCCAGAGGAAGGCAAAAAAACCCAGCAAAACACGATCCAATTTTTTCCTGCTGGGAACAAAAAATTCCTTCCTGATCCCCCGAGAGGCAATCCGATATTCCCTGGATCAACTTTACCTATAAATGTTATATCCAATTATATTCTGTGTATCTAGGAAATAATCCAGGCCTTTTTTGAAGCAATCCACTGAGCTGGCCAGAACCAACTCTTGAGTCTATTCCACATTTTCACAGCTCTCTGTGTGAAGAAACCTTTCCGTATTTGGAGATTACATTTCTTTTCCTCCATACATAAAGCGTGCCCCCTTGTCCTCTGTGATGACCTCAGGGTGAATAGCTCTACACCGAGTTCACTATATGAACCTCTGATGTATTTATACATGTTGATCATATCCCCCCTTAATCTCCTCTTCTCAAGAGAGAATAAATTCAGTTTTTCTAATCTTTCCTCATAGCTGATCTCCTCCATGCCTCTTATCAGTTTGGTTGCCCTTCTCTGTACTTTCTCCAGTTCCCCAATGTTCTTTTTGTGAATTGGTGCCCAAAACCGAACTGCATATTCCAGATGAGGTATTACTAATGATTTGTACAGGGGTAATATGATATATATATATACACTTTGCAATGCTTTAAACACCTGAAAGTATGGATGTGTATGTAGGTATATGTTAAAAACAAAAAAAGTATTGCTTGAGCATTGTCCTCATTGTTGATATAGAGAATATGTACACTTTATGTAAGGCTGATCATAGATGATATTTGTGTGATCTGATGAGTTTGTTTTTCATGCAAAAATTAACGCAAACAACGCATGAACCAACAGATATCAAACAGATTTTCTCTACATGGTGGAAATTTATTCTCTGCAAATAATCATTAGGGAGAGATGTAATCAGTATGAATAATGTCATTCTGTAGTTGACTGTGAATTGCTGTGACATCTGTGTAAAATCTAGCACAGATGATTAGAATGACAAATCATTTTTAGGAAAATGTATTTGATTTTTAGATGGCAAAATTATTTGCATGTTAGAGCTTGTATACATAGCTTTTGTTTTGCTGAATCTTTGGAAAAGCAGACAAAAAAAACTTTCTGTCTAAGGCCAGTCTGAGACCTTCATAAACATCTTTTCCCCATTTTCAACCACTATAACCAAGCCAAGCAAACCAAAGTCCTAGGTGTCACTCTAGACTCAAACCTGTCCTTCCAACCCCATGTCCAATCGCTGGCAAACTCATGCAGGCTCCACCTCCGCAACATCTCTAAAATACGCTTGTTTCTAACCCTAGACACTACTAAACAACTCATACGCTCCCAGATTATCTCACGTCTCGACTATTGCAACTCCCTCCTCACCGGCCTACTCCAACACAGGCTATCCCCGCTTCAGTCTATCCTGAACTCAGTGGCCAGACTCATCCACCTTACCAACCTCTCCGCATCTGCCACCCCCCTCTGTCATTCCCTCCGCTGGCTTCCGATTGCCCATCGCATTAAATTCAAACTACTAACACTGATGTACAAAGCCATTCATAACACTGCCCCAAACTACCTCACCGACCTGATACCCAAATACCACCCAACCCGCACTCTTCGCTCCTCACGAGCACCTACTTTCTAGCTCCCTGGTCTCCTCCTCCCACGCCCGACTGCAGGACTTCTCCAGGACTTCCCTCATCCTCTGGAACTCACTACCCCAATCCATCAGACTGTCACCTACCCTTCTCACCTTTAGGCGCACCCTGAAAACCCATCTCTTCAGGGAAGCCTACCCCACCCTCACCTAACAGCCGATCATCTCCACTCCTCCTACCACTCCATCCCCCAGAGCCACTTCCTCCTGTGCCACTATCCCCTCCCTCCTAGATTGTAAGCTCGAAAGAGCAGGGCCCTCGAACCCCTCGTATACGGTTTTGTTACTGTATTGTCTCATGTACTGTCCCCCACTACTCTGTACAGCGCTGAGCAAACTTTTCAGCGCTATATAAATACTGTATAATAATAATATAACGCACTTATCTTATTGTCTGTAAATGCCAAGCATTGCTGCGCAACCCAAAGCCACCCCAGAGATCAGATGACTAAGCTATATTCCTCCTTTTGAGTATAGGGGTGCTTTAGGTGACTCTTTTTATTGCTCCCTCTCCAGCAATTCCTAGATAGCAGCTGTGAAAATTGAGCAAAAATCCACTTTTATTTTTAAAAGTTGTTCCATATGCCTGGAAATAATGAAAGTATTCCTACTTTCCCAATTGGCTGGATTTTTTTTTCCTGTTCAGTATATTTGTTTTTTTTAATTAAAAGTTGGGGAAAAAGGGGGCAGAGAGCTGAAGTTGCAGTATTCAGAGCTCAATGAGGTGAGTTCTGAAAACTGATTGAAGAGACGCGACACAACCCAAAGGAACAGATCTCAGGCTGTCAATCTGCTAAAGGTCCCTCCCCTGTTACCATTTTCTCTTGGTGTCAGAAAAATTTGTTAGAAGTGACTCATGCTGATAGCAGGGGAACAAAGCAGCAGACAGAAATTACACTTAGACTTCTGGATTGAGACAAGTACACACTATAGAGGGATATGCTTTGTTCATATTTCATGTCCTAAGGTTTACAACCACTTTAAAGTTGAATTAGGGGGGAAGGGAATGTGTAGGGATGGGGAAAAGGAGGGGGGAACATATGGGTGGGGGAAGGGGGATATTAGAGGTCAGGGCACTGTCAAGGTGTGTGCAGGAAACAGTATAGTTATACATTTAGGAGGTTTGAGTCAAAGCCATGTGGATGGTAATTTTCATCTTAGTGATGCTAGATTGTGAAGTATTTGGGCATGGTATCTGAAATTTTGCCATTTTTGTTTTCTCTTGAAGCATGCCCTGGATAAAGCTGCCCATACATAGATCAAAATTCCTGTTGAACTGGCTAAATTTCGATCCATGTGCGGCCATTCCCATTCAAGAGAAGTCAAGCTATCAATTGACTTCTCATGAACAGGACCACTGGAAAATTTCAGTTCAATCAGCCAATTGTCTGCTTTGTTGATCAGTGTATTCTAACGCCAGAGAATCTCCCTGCTGTCAGAATACAAAGACACAGCGGAGAGGATTCCTGCATTCACACTGAATTTGTGGATGGGGGAATTGGATCAGTTTTTTTTTTTTTCGTGTGACTGAAGGAAAAAAACTGGCCCATGCAGCTTAACTCTAGACCTGGTTTCTGTAAAATGTAAAGTGCTGCTCCTCCAAGCTTTAGCTTTTGCTTGTTTGTAGTCATTAGAACATGTAGCAGTTAGTTAGGTTGGGTGGTCCTCAAGATGAGGAGAGCAATATTTTGCATAAATGGGTACTGTGGATCCCACTAGTTTAGTGAGCATGTCAAAGACATTGGACCAAAATTGTTTTACCATGGGACAGGACCACTGAATATGAACAAAGCTGCTGGTCTGCTCCGAATCACAAACGCATTCTGGAAAATAGCCCAGCACAGAAGTTGCTATCCTTGTGTGTACTAGCTGCCAACGAATAAAGACTTTAATTATTTATGCTGCCGTAGCATTGCATGAGCAAGACTTCATTGTCGACCATATCTGGATACAGTCCTTTTCCTTTAAGTCTTCTCAAGTCGAAGGTGCTTTTCTGGATATATTTTTTTTTTTCTGTGTAAAAGTCAAAGGAGGTAAAGTCTGTTTTTACCCAGTTGATTTCTCCTCAGCCAAAAATAATTCTTTTAAGAAAATATTTGTGCCCTGTACTGACATGGCATGTGCATACTACCTTTTGTAAATGCTGTTTTTCTTTCCAGTTACAGGCAAACATTTTGACAAAATTTCTCCTTGTTGCAAAATTATGCTACGAACAACGAGATTTTTCAACAGCCATGCAGATCCTTGGAGGGCTGGAGAACCTCATAGTCCGGCAACTCCCGGTTGGTTTTTATGTGTTTGTTCTGTCTAGCAGACTGGATTTCTGATTTGTACACAAATGCATTTCATTTTATTTATTTTGAAGGCATGGAAAAATTTACCGTCCAAAGTTTCTGAAATTCTGGAAGAACTGAAAGCTGTTGAGGTAACGAACGCAAATTTTGTTTTTGAAAAAAAAAATAAATCGACCCCAGTTCACACCTGCCTGCACTGCGTGGAGTAATTGCGGGTGCAGGAATTGCAACTGTCCTGAAACCACCAACCACCCTCAGGCAAATCGCACTGCTGTTAAGAGACGCATGAGGCTGCCCTTCATTCTTACTGGCACCCCCACGCATCTCAACCTACAGCGTGTTTGCGGGTGCTAGAATCGCAGGGAAAACGCATGGTCAAAAACACTATTAAGCGTTGTGCAAATTGTCGGCACTTTGTAAATACCTGTAGTAAATAAATACATAAGTGTACTCCAGCATGGAGTGTGGACTTCCTGAGGAGGGCAACAGTGGACCATAACAAGGGTTTCTGATAGAAACTACAAGTAACCATTTAAGCCCGTGTAATAAGGTGACAATGCTGGAGCACCATTCAAGAGAAAGGCACAGTGTGTTGTCACCCTAACAATAAGCTGGCTATACACTAGTAGAATTTTATTAAACATTTTTTGCTTTAAGAATGTTTGTTTAATTTTTTTAATCATTAATGGGGTCAAATCAAAGTTAGTTTTTACCATAGTGACAAGAAAATTCGAAGAAATGAATGAACTTCTAATAGTGAATGTAGTTTTCATTTTTGGAAATTATTCATTTTGATGAAGTGTTTAAAGCAAACAAAATGTTAAAGTACTTTCAAACAACATTTGTACAGGCATCGAATGTACAAAGAAGTTTCATACAAATATTTGTATGAATGTTCATTCAAAAATCTACTAGGTTATAGTTAGCTTTTGTGCTTGAACAAGGACCTTCATGTCTGAATTACCAAATACAGATTTGAAGATATTGAGATGACATTAAAATGTTAACGGATATATGAGATTTTAGTGACTGAGTTTATTTATATTTCACTGTATACACAGATTGGCAATAACATTGACCACTGACAGGTAAAGTGCATAACATTGATTATCTTATTACAATGGCATCTGGGTGGGATATATCAGGTAGCAAGCAAACATGTTGTCTCTAAGTTTGATGTGCTGAAAGCAGAAGAAATGGAAAAGCATAAGGATTTGCGTGACCTTGACAAGAGCCAGAATGGCCTTACCATTGGGTCAGAGCAACTCCTAAACTGCGGTGACTTGTGTCCACCACCAAAAGTGCCTACAATGGGCACGTGAACATCAGAACTGGACCACAGAGCTATGGAGGTGGGTGTCTTCAAAGTGCTGACTTCAGATCAAATTCTTCAGATCTCAATCCAATCGAGCATATGTGGTATGTGCTAGAAAAACAAGTCTGATCCATGGAGGCTCCTCCTCGCAAAGTACAGGAATTAAAGGTTCTTAAAGGATCTGCTACTGATAGCTTGGTGCGAGATACCATACCTTCTGAGGTCTAGTGAAGTCCATGCCCCGATGGGTCAGAGCTGTTTTGGTGGCAAAAGAGGAACCTACTCAGTATTAGGTGGGTGGTCGGCCATAATATTATGGCTGATCAGTGTATGTACAAAGTGCAGAAAGAAGTTGAATTGGATGATAATTTTCCATAATTTAGCTTTTTTTCAACCTCTTAATGTCATCTCATTTACTTTGTATATTGCCTAATTAGGATTTAGGCCTAACAAAATGTCTAGTATGGTTGCTGATTACAGTGTGTCTGATGTATGTTGGCATTGGTATTAGTGCCATACCTACTGCCTGTGTATTCCCAAGACGGTGTCTTTGGTTTATCTTTTGGTGCCTGCATTCACATATATTTTCAACAGTTTTCTGATTTGGCTACTTACCAGGTGTTTTTGAAGAGTGACAGCTTATGTCTGATGAAAGGCGAAAGATTCAGAACATTGCCCACAATTCCTTCCGCTTACCTCTTAGCGATGCACATTCAGCAGCTTGAGATTGGCGGTTTCACCATGGCAAGTGGAGCATTTAAGTGGAATAAGCTAAGGTGAGGCTTGCATAGTTTGAACTATTCTTTATTTCAGAACAGTGGCTACATAAATAATAGTTTAGCCTGTTAGAGCAATACGGTCAGCTTCATACCTTGGTTTCACATATCATATAGTATTTCTGAACTAACCCAGTGGAGCAAATATCCTTGCTGTAGTCCATGTTAGAAAATGAAAGCTATTCTGATTGGTTGCTGAGAGCAACCCTTTTACCTTCCCTCTCCTTTATACACCAAACTAGAACTCTGATCCTAAGAGGAAATGGCTCCCTGTATGCATTTACTTTTCTCTTGGGATAAAAAATAAATAGGACAAGGAATAAATATGTGAATGAATGAGCCTGACAAGCCCAGACAAACTTCAGCACTCAGAAGTAGTCTGATAAACCAAACATAACATGGATGGTTATTGTAGTGAATCTACCAAATGGATGGATCTTACAAAATGGGTAAAAAACTAAAAGTACCAAAAGGGCAATAAGGAATAAAATGTGTTGAAAACAATAATTGGTGAAATTCAATACTAATGTTATATGCCATCCTTATTAAAAGGTTTGCGTAGGATAGTCCAGAGTTCTAAACGTGGCTAAAACTAGGAGCTGCAGGAAGAAGACCAGAGAGGGTACTCACTTTCCAACCACTAGAAGTAATCAAAAGAAACAACCGCTCAACCCCATAATGTAGCATTAAAAATAAATGACAATTTACTGAAAAATAAAAATGCACTTCCAAAAGTACGCATGTGTAGGGCATGGCATAAAGGTGACTTGGGAGCCTGACCGGCTTCGAACGGCTTCGAAACTCGTCCCGTATATACAGTCTCCAGTCCTGGGTTGAACACCAATTGCAGCTTCCTCCATCTTCAGCATGCTTCATCCCCAGCTAGTGGCGAAGGCTGGTGGTTCTCTGGCTGCCCCTTGGAAACCTCTAAGCCACTCCCTACACACATGTACTTTTGTGAATGCAATTGTATTTTTTAAAAAAACTGTTGTTTATTTTTTAATGCTACACTTTTGTTTTATTTTTGTCTTGGGGCCCATTCATGCTATTGTGTTTTCATGCTGGGAATATGACATGCTAAGACGTCATGGTTCCCTATGATAAACATAATGTCTGTGTTGCTATATCAGTGCTGCAGTACAGTGAGTTTGAAAAACATGTCTTGTTTTTTTCTTTGGGAAGCCCATAGAAGTCAATAATTTGTGAGTAACATTTCTTCAGCAGCAGCACAGACAGGAATAGTTTTAGTATCTTGCTCTATAGTATCTTGCTCTATATATCATGCTGGGAATATGACATTGTAAGACGTCATGGTTCCCTATGATAAACATAATGTCTGTTGCTATATCAGTGCTGCAGTACAGTGAATTTGAAAAACATGTCTTGTTTTTTTCTTTGGGAAGCCCATAGAAGTCAGTAATTTGTGAGTAACATTTCTTCAGCAGCAGCACAATCAGTAATAGATTTAGTATCTTGCTCTATATATCACACAATTTTATTAACTTGTCCTGAATATCAAATTGTTTCACCCACTTGCCCTAAACAGTCATGGCCAAAAATGTTGGCACGCCTGCATTTCTGTCAGATAATGCACCACTTTGCCCAGAAAATTGTTGCAATTTGCAATTACAAATGTTTAGGCATTCTCATGTTTATTTCTTTTGTTTGTATTGGTATGACACGAAAATTGTGATGCTCCTGTAATTTGTAATTAAACTCACCGATATCAACAGGTGCTGACAATCTAGAAATCACACCAGCAACCAGTTAAAATGGTGAAAAATGTATTCAACCTTTTTGTTGTGCGTCTCTGTGTGCCACAAGGAGCATGGAGAAGAGAAAAAGCAGCAAATAATTGTCTGAGGATTTGAGATAAAAAATTGTGGGAAAGCATGGACAATCTCAAGGTTTCAATTCCATCTCCAGAGATCTTAATATTTCTGTGTCCACTGTGCGTAACATTGTCAAGATGTTTACAGCCCATGGCACTGTACCTAATCTCCCTGGATGTGGACGAAAGAGATAAAATAATCAAAGATTGCAATGAAGGATTGTTTGGTGGATAAAGAACTTTGATCAACTTCCAAACAAATTTAAGCTGATCTTCAGGCACAGGGTACAACTGTGTCAGCTCGCACTATATGTTGCCATCGGAATCAAAAGGGACACTATGGTAGGAGACCCAGGAGGACCCCACTGCTGACACAGAAACCTAAAAAAGCCAGATTGGAGTTTGCCAAAACTTGCCTGAGGAAGCCAAAATCCTTTTAAGAGAATGTGCTGTGGGCAGACGAAACAAATTACAGCTTTTTAGTAAAGCCCATAATTCCAAAGCAATAAGGCCTCTAAAGAAAAGGATACTGTCCCTACAGTTAAACCTGTTGGAGGTGCACTGATGTTTTGGGGTTTCTTTGCTGCTTCAGGCACTGGATGTCTTGACTGTGTTCATGGCATTATGAAATCTGAAGACTACCAGAGAATTATGGGGTGCAATGTAGGGCTCAGTGTTAGAAAGTAGGGTCTCCGTCAGAGTTCATGGGTCTTACAGTAGGACAATGACCCAAAGTACACATCAAAAAGCACCAAGAAATGGTTTAAGACAAAGCATGGAGAGTACTGAACTGACCAGCAATGAATCCAGATCTCAATCCCATAGGGCACTTGTGGAGAGATCTCTCAAAACCGCAGTTGGGAAAAGAAACTCTTCCGATCTGAGAGACCTGGAGCGGTTGGCAAAAGAAAAATAGTCCAAAATCCCAGTAGAGGTGTAAGAAACTCATTGATGGTTACAGGAAGCAATTTATTTCAGTTATTTTTTCCAAGGGGTGTGCTACCAAATATTAAATTGAGGTTTCCAATAATTTTGTCCAGTCAATTTTTGGAGCTTTGCGTGGAATGTTTCAGATTTGGCTTTTTGTCTCTCCAATTTTTTGTGTCATACCAGTACAAACAAAAGAAATAAGCATGAGAACGCCTAAACAATTGTAATTGCAACATGCAAAGTGGTGCATTATCTGACAGAAATGCAGGGGTGTCAATATTTTTTGCCATGATGATATATCACACTGTTAACTTGTCTTGTAAATCACACTGTTTCAGTAGCTTGTCCTGTAGATCACACTCTTTCAGTATCCTGTAATGTATATCATAACTTTTCAGTAGCTTGTAATGTACATCACACAATTTCAGTATCCTATAATGTATATCACACTGTTTCAGTAGCTTGTACTATACATCACACAGTTTCAGTATCCTATAATGTATATCACACAGTTTCAGTATCCTATAATGTATATCACACAGTTTCAGTATCCTATAATGTATATCACACTGTTTCAGTAGCTTGTACTATACATCACACAGTTTCAGTATCCTATAATGTATATCACACAGTTTCAGTATCCTATAATGTATATCACACTGTTTCAGTATCCTATAATGTATATCACACTGTTTCAGTAGCTTGTACTGTACATCACACAGATTCAGTATCCTATAATGTATATCACACAGATTCAGTATCCAATAATGTATATCACACTGTTTCAGTAGCTTGTACTGTACATCACACAGATTCAGTATCCTATAATGTATATCACACTGTTTCAGTATCCTATAATGTATATCACACTGTTTCAGTAGCTTGTACTGTACATCACACAGATTCAGTATCCTATAATGTATATCACACAGATTCAGTATCCTATAATGTATATCACACTGTTTCAGTATCCTATAATGTATGTCACACTGTTTCAGTATCCCATAATGTATATCATAACGTTTCAGTAGCTTGTAATGTACATCACACAATTTCAGTATCCTATAATGTATATCACACTGTTTCAGTATCCCATAATGTATATCATAACGTTTCAGTAGCTTGTAATGTACATCACACAATTTCAGTATCCTATAATGTATATCACACTGTTTCAGTAGCTTGTACTATACATCACACAGTTTCAGTATCCTATAATGTATATCACACAGTTTCAGTATCCTATAATGTATATCACACAGTTTCAGTATCCTATAATGTATATCACACTGTTTCAGTAGCTTGTACTATACATCACACAGTTTCAGTATCCTATAATGTATATCACACACAGTTTCAGTATCCTATAATGTATATCACACTGTTTCAGTATCCTATAATGTATATCACACTGTTTCAGTAGCTTGTACTGTACATCACACAGTTTCAGTATCCTATAATGTATATCACACTGTTTCAGTAGCTTGTACTGTACATCACACAGATTCAGTATCCTATAATGTATATCACACAGATTCAGTATCCAATAATGTATATCACACTGTTTCAGTAGCTTGTACTGTACATCACACAGATTCAGTATCCTATAATGTATATCACACTGTTTCAGTATCCTATAATGTATATCACACTGTTTCAGTAGCTTGTACTGTACATCACACAGATTCAGTATCCTATAATGTATATCACACAGATTCAGTATCCTATAATGTATATCACACTGTTTCAGTATCCTATAATGTATGTCACACTGTTTCAGTATCCCATAATGTATATCATAACGTTTCAGTAGCTTGTAATGTACATCACACAATTTCAGTATCCTATAATGTATATATCACACTGTTTCAGTATCCCATAATGTATATCATAACGTTTCAGTAGCTTGTAATGTACATCACACAATTTCAGTATCCTATAATGTATATCACACTGTTTCAGTAGCTTGTACTATACATCACACAGTTTCAGTATCCTATAATGTATATATCACACAGTTTCAGTATCCTATAATGTATATCACACTGTTTCAGTAGCTTGTACTGTACATCACACAGATTCAGTATCCTATAATGTATATCACACTGTTTCAGTAGCTTGTATTGTACATCACACAGATTCAGTATCCTATAATGTATATCACACTGTTTCAGTAGCTTGTACTGTACATCACACAGTTTCAGTATCCTATAATGTATATCACACAGTTTCAGTATCCTATAATGTATATCACACTGTTTCAGTAGCTTGTACTGTACATCACACTGTTTCAGTATCCTATAATGTATATCATAACGTTTCAGTAGCTTGTACTGTACATCACACAGATTCAGTATCCAATAATGTATATCACACTGTTTCAGTAGCTTGTACTGTACATCACACAGATTCAGTATCCTATAATGTATATCACACAGATTCAGTATCCTATAATGTATATCACACAGATTCAGTATCCTATAATGTATATCACACAGATTCAGTATCCTATAATTTATATCACACTGTTTCAGCCACCATAAACAGTGATAATCCAGTATCAACTTAATGTCAATCTTGAAACAAACACCCATGTGCGAATCCGACACCAGATGAAATGAATACACTCACCAGAGCTATATGCTGATTAAATTATAAACCAGCATGATAGAATTTTGCTCCGGGAGCGATGATCTGCAGGATATCCCAGTAGAGGAACGGCAACCAATAGTGATCCAATCAGCACATATGGAACAGCTAGGCAGCACATATGGAACAGCTAAGCAGCAAATGGTCTTCCAATAACATGGGCAAAGCTCGAGGAATAAGAAGAGATATGTTGGTGCAGTACGTTTAAAACCAGTAAAATTTTATTAGTAAAGTATAACACTCACAAGGAAGGTGTCCAGCCGACACCAGCAATGACAGCCTCTATAATAACACATCCACGAGGGAAAAAACCAAGGGACGAACCTCCTGCACCGCGATCTCACAGCCGATAGCTGGGAGGACCGTCCCGACGTCACGTCCACTAGGCCACGCCCAACGCGTTTTGTCACTTGAGGTTCGTCCCTTGGTTTCTTCCCTCGTGGATGTGTTATTATAGAGGCTGTCATTGCTGGTGTCGGCTGGACACCTTCCTTGTGAGTGTTATACTTTACTAATAAAATTTTACTGGTTTTAAACGTACTGCACCAACATATCTCTTCTGATTCCTCGAGCTTTGCCCATGTTATTGGAAGACCGTTTGCTGCTTAGCTGTTCCATATGTGCTGATTGGATCACTATTGGTTGCTGTTCCTCTACTGGGATATCCTGCAGATCATTGCTCCCAGATCAAAATGCTATCATGCTGGTTTATAATTTAATCAGCATATAGCTCTGGTGAGTGTATTCATTTCATCTGGTGTCGGATTCACACATGGGTGTTTGTTTCAAGATTGACATTAAGTTGATATTGGATTATCACTGTTTATGGTGGCTGGACTTATAGTTATATTTATGTATTTTGTTTGTTATTTCTATTATTTATCCTTGCATTTTTTGTGAATAATTAGCGCACTCTTTATTTATACACAATTTCTCCTTTTTTGGTTAGAGGTGCTGCTCATTATTTTATTTATTTTGTTATTTTCTGTGGCGCTTCTTATATTTGATACATGTGTATCACATTGCCTCTGCAACCTGTGTTATACCCCATTTTCTTTTTTCCAATAGGAATATTGCAAAAGTCATAAGCCAAGTTCACGCATTTCAAGAAATCCCATACTCCTTTGCTTCAGATCAAGATTTTCAGTTTTACCTCCGCCAGCGCATTTTACATTTCAGCGAGGCAGATATCTCTGCCTTGGCAGCTGACAACAATGCCAATTTTCATCATGTAAACTCTGAGAAACATTCTCGTAAGATCCAGGACACGCTGCGCAGAATGAAGGCCACGTTTCAGTGAAAGCCATAGACAGCACTTTACATTTGTCTCCCTTCAAGAGAACCAAAGAGCAAGCTGTAGCTAAGGTTCCATGTTCTGATTGGTGGTCAGTGGTATGGTGATTGAAGGGACACAAACACTTACAAAGGGCTCATGCAGTAGAACAATATCTGTTCCCAGCGTTTGTTGTTGAGTAGATTTTGCCCCATTGCAGAGTGCAATAATTTCTAGAAGCTTGCCTCGTGTGCGCAGGTGATAAACGTCAGTGTGTCAGCCAAATCTTCTAGATTTCCCATTTTGTAATTCATAGCGGTCCCTTGAGAATGAAATGGTTTGCATACATTATCATTTTTACTACTGACTTTTATTGAATGGAAAAGTGAAATAATAGTTCTATAAGGGCAAAGGTAATTTTCAGGCAGCAACTTTAACAGCACCAGATATAGACCGCTACTGCAGCAAGAGGAAAGAATGGGGCTCCTATAAGACCAGAGGGATGAAGATGATGGAAGGAATTAGGAAAACATCAACTGAAACCTGACTGGCTCCTATGGACAACACCTCCGCCTTCCAGGGTTTATGATCTTGCTTGTTCAAACAAACTGCAGTCAATGGCAAGAATAGTGGCAGGATTATTGTTTCCTTGGACTCATTCCTCTAATATAAGTGTAAGGTAAATCACCTCTCTGCAGCATTTTAGAGCTAAACATGCCAGGTAATGTGATAGACATGAGACCCAGTGCAGTTCCCATGTTGCTGCCTTTGCTGTGCGGTTAACTGCGGTCCATTTATGGGGAAGAAGTAAAATCCATGGAAGTGCTCTAAAGGTTTGTTCATCCTCGTTTGTCTGGGAACGCATGATTTCTATGTGCTTTTGATCATGCGTTAGTACATGCGGTTTTCGTTCAGTGTGCAGTTTGTGTATGTTTCTGCATGTGTTTTGTCTGGCATTTTGCAAACAACAAAAAAAAGAAGACTTGTTATCTGTTCCTGTTATTACATGCACTTTTGTTGCAAAAAAAAAAGCTCTGCAATGTGTGGGATGCATTTTTTGTTTGTCAATACAAGGGAGTGAAGTGCATAAGAATACAGCAGGGAGGGATTGCTAAAATTCGCTGGGTTTCTGTGTCTTCATGTGAAGCATGACATTTAACACAGATTCCCATCCAATCCCAGCTGCAGATTCCCTGTAGTAAGATGGAGTGTACTACTTGGAAGCACACAAGATTGTGCTATTAACACTTTTTTTTTTTAAATAGGATTCTCCCCAAAAACTAAATACAAGTACTGTCTCCAGTATGGATGTGAGGAGCACTTGCCAGGTGTCCATACTGAAGAGAGAGTTGTGACCAGAATGGCCCTAGAGAAACGAGCACTTGGCATTTCATTGAATCAAACGGGCTTGCAGCATCTGACAGCAAACTGCAACCACTTTCAAAGGACCATGCTGTGTATTCAGAAGGTGTACATAAAAAAGCAACGATTATTGGACCACAAATTTTTATTTGTGTTTGATTGTTCTTCAGCAAAATTCCCACAAATACCCTCCTTCTGGCTTCAACACCATTATTTCCAATCAGACCCCTAACCAGCTTTCTACAATGCAGTGTGATCTGAACTAGTTTAGTCTGTTACATAGTTAGTCTGGTTGAACAAAGACACAAGTCCATCTAGTTCAATCAATTAAAGGGAAAAAATAGTCTGTACTGTAATAGCAATCCAAAATACAACCACATTTCATGTTAGTCAAGCATTCAGAAAATGTCATCAATCTAATGGCATAGACACCCTGCTAGACTCCTTAAACTGACGCATTTTGTTCTGTTGGAGGGCTCATTGTGGGTCTCCATGATTAAAGGCATAGTTCACCTTTGCCAAAAAGCTGCAGATAAGGGCTTCTGTAGTTAAAGACAAACCGTGCAGCTTTGACTAAAATTGAATAATGCCCTTACTATAGGTGTAGGTTATTTTCATAACTCATGAAGCCTGATTTGAAAACTCCCAGGATGTGTTACTGCTCACGTTAACAATTACAAGAGTGAGCTCCCCCACTCTGAGCTCAGAGCTACTGCATTGAGGGAGAGAAAGTACATGTGAGGGGCTTTGAATCAGAGAAAGAGCTCACTCCTGTGATGGTGAAAGTGAACAGTAGTGGCTGGGCATCATTTAGCAATGTCCTGGGTGTTTTCAGGTCAGGCTTCAGGAGGTAGGTAATTGGCCTACACCTATAGCAAGGAAGGGCACTATTCAATTTTGGTCAGAGCTGAATTTGTTTTCATCTACAGACATCCCTTAACTATGCCTTTTAAGCTTCTTGCATGCAAGGCATGTCAGGTCTTCAGGAGTAAGGTTGGGTGCCAATGCCATCTTGAATGATAAAGTTTTCTGAACACCTGACTAATGGGAATTATGACTGTACATACATTACTGTTGGAGAATGAGGGGATGGGTGGGTGGTGTCTTTGATTTGGGTATCTGTCATGGCTGGGGGTAGCAGCCACTGGGAGCCTTAAGTGGTGTTGAAGTATTGGATTTGTAGTAAATACACTATTGAATTACATATGTTTGAATTGTATTACCTTCCAAAAGATGTGTGATTCTGTCCAGTCAGTCATGTGATTCACACCCCTCTGCCAGGCACATGACTCCCCTGTTGCCTATTTTACCTTTGCAGGTTCCTGTGTCACCTGTCTAATCATTGGTCCACAAATCTCCAATGTGATTATGCTGTTACATTGTCCAGAGAGGAGGCAGGTAAGCATATAACTGCAAAGGTTGAAATAGGGATCACGAGTTGTGTGAATCACAAAACCGGTCTGGCATAGTTGCAAACCTTTTGGGCAATAAAACATTTTGACCATGGTATATAGAAATATGGTTGCTACAGATGACTGTACTTTATCAGCTGCTTGTTGCTGTTTGCACTTTCTTACTAAACGTATGTCATTGTGGTAGGTCATGTGTGATACTGACAAGTCACACTCTTACTATTCTATTCTAGTTCTATTTTTGCCATAAGGCAGCAATAAAAATATTTAAGAGTGATTATAAACCATTTGGATGATCAGAAATTTAGATAACAAATTAAGTTCATTAATAAATATTTTGTAACTAATAATCATATTTCTGCAGATTTGGATATGTTTAGGACCCAGATTCATACACAGAGCAATAGGTTGGGTAGTAAAGCTCCACATTACACATTTATGTAGCTTTGCTGCACAGCCTATTGCATATATTTACCTCCATCAGACACAAAGCAAGTACCAAAATAACAGCTGGTAGTATCATCTGTAGAGCTACTGCAAGGAAATGTGTTTACAGCATTACTTCCAATTCTGCCACCTTAAAGTGACCCTGTCACCATACCAATTATTTCAACAACAATCTTCCCATTAGACGATACGTGCATTTAATATATTTTATGTATGTTATTTACCTGTTCAATTCTCCCTTTTCTCCTTTGTGTAGACATCCAAAAGCCCCAAGACTGCTGCTGGGCATTGCCACCTTGGATGAGATATTTGCAACCCAAGCAAATTCAGAGCTGTCACTTAGGTGACATTTTGTAGTTGCTCCTCCCCATGCTGTTATATGAAAAGCTATGTAGTGAGGGAAGGAGCTGGGCCAGTACAGAGTATTTAGACATTCCCAATAGAGGAGAGGGCTATAATGTGCAAGTAGGGTGGGGGCTTTGCTAGGCAATTGACTCTTCCTAGGGTCCTTTCACATGGGCAGACCCATTTAGCGGATATCTCTGCTGATCCCCGCTGAGCAAGCTAATGACATGTCAGCTCACTCTCCTCAATGGGCGGTCTGATGGCAACACACCGCCTGTCCATTGCCATTCCGACCCAATCGGATGGACAGAAGGGGTATTGGATCCCCATCCGTCCCTTTTATGCGGGTCGGATCGGATTGGATGTCAGCGGGTGTACACAAACACATGTCCATTTACACCCGCCGCTCCATAGAAGAGAATGGAGGTTCCGATCGGGTCCACCTGAAAAACGGGCAGGCGGACCCAATCGGAACATCCATGTGAAAGAGGCCTAAAGTTTTCACATTTTTGTAGCAAGCGAATAAAAATAATTTATGTAAGGCAAAAAAAGTAAGCATTGAAAATGCTTAACGGTTCAGTGTTTTTACCTGCAGTTTTTCAAGAAGGTGACAAGGTTTCTTTAATGTCCCCCTTTTTGCTGAAAATTCTATATTTTCATCATTGTTGTCTACAGCATCTTTTTGTAAACCTTTTCACTAAAGAAGTGTTTGTTTTTGTTTTTAAATCTCTAACGCATACTTCAACCTGATAGTTAAAGAGGCCATAGATGATGCACACTCTGTGTTGATGTGGAAATCCCTTCTGTGGAGCTATTGTATCCTGACAATAGGGAGAGTTCCATGCCACCAGAAAACAATCGGTGTTGCTGGCTATAGCTGGCGGCACTTATTGAGGGAACAACCTGTACAACCAACCTGCCTGTAGATGGATTCAATTTCGTCTGGTCCCTGCTAAACCAGCCAAATTTTGATTCCTTTATGGCTGAACTTTGTAATTGCTGAGATTTAATATATAAAATCCAGTACTCTTTCTACTCTCATTGGGGTTGCCATGGTTGGTGAGCCTTTTAGTGCAGGCACAGACTTTTTTTTTAATCCAAGTGACATATTGGGTGATAGAGGGGTAAAATTGGGTGGATTGGGTGATGAGGGGTCAAATTGGGTGGAAGAGGGGTCAAATTGTTTTCTAATGTTTGTATCCCATTGAATGCAAACTAATAAAGTTCTTGGATATTTTACACCTCTAAATATTAAATTGTAAGCTTGTAAGGCTGTAGCTTAAAATCAAAAATTGGCTTTAGGCTTCCTACTCCTCCCTGCTGCTGTCATTGAAAAAATTATAGATCCTTCCAATACTTGACCCTCCTGTCTCTTGAATTGTGGTCCAATTGGCTGCTATTCTCAGGACAAGTCTGCCCCATCAAGGGTGAAGAGGATACAAGTCACTGCATCACTGAAAA